ATTATTATTATTATATACCTGTAACAGACCATGGAGGCCAATAGGGTTGTGAGACATTTAGGGTCCCACATTGTCTACACAATCGGCTCACATATGGCGGTAAGGTTGTCAGCCTTACGCGAAGGTCGCCTCCGTGTCTTGTGCTCAGAGTTCCTGGCTACAGATCCAGAGGTCCGGGTTCGATTCCCGGCACTATCAGATTTTCTGAGAATTAGTGGGTCTGGAACGGGGTCCACTCAGCCTCGTGAGGGTACTTGAGGAGCTATTTCAAAGAAATAGCGGCTCCGGTCTAGAAAACCGAAATTAACGGCTGTGGAGATTTATTGCGCTGACCACGCGACACCATCTATCCGCTAAAGTTGGCACTAACTTCGCCGACAAGCGGCGGTCGCTCGGTCGGTATAGTTCGCCCGCGGACTAGAACCAGGGCGTTTGTTTTGTTTTGTCTTGTTTGTTTGTATCATTATTATATAGTTCCTGTCATCCTCACCATACAAATTTAAGTATTCGAAGGAAAATAGTTTCGAATAAATTTTGCAAATGATACATGTAATGTTGTAAACAGTACTCTATAATTTTCCGGTGTATTTCTTCCGCCACTACATCATGCCTAAGCATGTTATTACGAGGACTGTCGTTGTTTTCATCTTCATTATCTTTATTTAATCGCCTATTGATTTACATTTTAATTAAATTTTCCTTTCGTTTAGACAAGTAAATTTAAATACCAAAGAGGTCTTTCTCCGCTCCATAATGTCCAGACGAGCTCTGGGTACTGGGGTAAGGCGTCAGAGACATGGAGCTGGCAGCTCAGCAATGCCTAGTGCCGAGACTGACGATGGTGCGGCTACACCTCCACTCCACCATACATCTGCATAGTGTGGCCCTTCAGAAATTAAGTCCACGTATAACTTTACCTTTTCAGACAAGTAAATAAATTATTTTCTTCATTAAAAGGATCCAAAATGTTTATTAAATAGTATTACTGGAGTTCATGCGGTCCCTGGGTTCAGCCCTGATAAATCCACACAAGAGCTGTTAGAAATTCTTTTAAGTAGTACTAGCGTAAATAGTTGCTTCTAGCTTCTTTCGCGCGTTCTGAAACTCTAACCATCCACTTAATGTTATTATGATCAGCCGCTTTATAGAATCAAAATGCAGCCCAATTCCTTCGTTTAATGGAGTTGCATTTTCGGTCATAAGAATCAGAAGTTATATTATATATATGGAATAGTTAATACATTTTCAGCTGTATGGCTGAGGTGTGATTCACGCAACAGGATATCTCTGAAACCCTGTAGTAGCCTCCACCTCGGCTTGCCACCGCTGTATTCTGGACGGTGAGCTGAGATTACTCATTTTACAAGGATATTTTGTTGTTTACAATTGTTCATTATAACCCTCTTCTGAGTTGTTATGGCTCCCCGAATTCGTAACCAATGCTTTTCCATAAAGGTGTGTTGCTACCGCGCAATTCTAATCTCATTTTTTATAACACACTTTCGTTAATGGAACCCCGCTTTAGGCGAGTTAGCAACATTACGAAGCGCCTATGAAGTTCGCTGAGTCGGCTCATATGCATCAAACAACTCCAGAACCGCCGGACAGATTTTCATGAAATTTGAGATTAGAGAACAAGTATTGAATTTCCATTTAGACTGGACAAATTTAACGACCATTTTACGTGAATACCTACGTGATTCCGAGCGTCTCGATAAATGCTTATTGCACAAAGAATGTTTGCAACAGTAATAGAGACAATTATAATATATCTCACAGAATTTGGTGGCAATTATTTAACTTTAGTTCGACGATCCTCAGAGTTATGCTGGCGGTAGCGTTGTTACTGGCAGAGTCTCCCATGGCAGACAGGTCAAAGGTGATGGTCCAGACAAAAAGTGATACCCTGGTCCTCCGGGTTGAAGGTTGGGCGAAGGGCTGAAACCCCACCCCGTAAAAAGCCTTATTTATTGAGAAGCTTTTAAATACTTCAGCCGGACGGAAGCACCTAAATGAGACGGACGTTGCAGGATCGGGACCAATGGAGAGCAATCGTGAAAGAGGCCAAGGTTCATCGTGGGCTGTAGCTCTCGCAGAAGAAGAAGAGGAAGAAGGAGGAGAAGAAGAAGAAGAAGAAGAAGAAGGAGGAGGAGAAGAATAACAAGAAGAAGAATAAGGAGGAGAAGAAGGAGGAGGAGGAGGAGAAGAAGCAGAAGGAGAAGGAGAAGAAGAAGCAGAAGGAGGAGGAGGAGAAGGGGAAGAAGGAGGAGAAGGAGAACAAGAAGAAGGGGAGAAGGAGGAGGAGAGGGAGAGGAAGGAGGAGGAGAAGAAGAAGAAGCAGAAGAAGGAAGAGGAGGAGGAGGATAATAAGAAGAGGCGGAAGAAGGAAGAGGAGGAGGAGGAGGAGAAGAAGAGGCAGGGGGAGAAGAAGAAGGAGGCGGAGGAAAAGAAGGAGGAGGAGGAGGAGAAGCAGGAGGAGGATGCGGAGAGGAATGAGAAGGAGGAGAAGAAGGAAGAGGATGAGGGGGAGGAGGAGGCGGAGAAAAAGCAGAAGGAGGAGAAGGAGGCGGAGAAGAAGTGAGGCAGCATGTAATGACAATGAACATTGCAACCTTAATACTAAGAATCTGTTCGTTCAGTGTGCGGTTTTGACTTCTCATTATGCGAGGAAATCCATGTAGTTGTAATTATTTCGTTTTTAATTCCTTCTGCCGAAAGCGCCCGTTAAGTGTATACTGCTCAGCATACTTTCAGAGTCTCCCTATAGATCAGCATAGAGCCGACATTCATAATACTGACTTGAGTATGCCTGCTGTTGGGGTACATTTCTGCTTTCTTCAGTCAGCAGCCCAACTATATCTCGTTGATCAGTACTTTATTTTTGCTTTGGTTTTACATGTTAACCGTTTTAGGCGAGTTCGCAGCCTTACAAGCTCTTCTTGCCACCTACTTTCACGCTGGTTTCTTGCCCAGCCTATTCTTCGACGTTGAAGATGGAAGCGACATGTTCCTCCGAAACGTCGGTTTAGTTTCAACGGACTGCATGGCGTTATAACACAGAAGGTAGAACTCTTCATAACCACCGCTGCGAAAACCTCAAACTCTACACACGATCTTCTAGGTCATAGCTCTGTGTTCTTCGGTAAAAGTCCACCGACGTTTCGAAGGAACTTTTCGCCTACATCTTCCGGACCGAAGAGTAAGCCAAGCAAGGATTCAGTAAGAAGCAGGCTACAGTGCCGCTTGCTTGTCTCACTTACTATTCGATTCTGAAAATGGAAATGATACCTTACTCCGAAACTCCCACTGGCTTCTACCGAAATACGTACATGCAGTTATGACCCAGAAGAACAAACTCTCCAAGAATACGGGTATTTGCAGTTTAGGACAAAATATAAACAAAACATAAACAGAAGTGGAAAGAATGTTTTATTAGGATGAGTTCTGACCGTCTTCTGAAAGAAGGTCTAATTCAGCGTCCTTGAAGAAAGACAAAAATCGGCAAGCCAAGAAAAAAAAATGGGTGACTTTCGGAAAGCGTGTTTTATATCTATCTCTGATCTTAGACGATGATAAGAAAAATTCTAAGATTAGTAACCTATAGCCTTCTGGAATGAATGTTGACCTTTACACTTGTCGAGCAATAGTTGTTACCTTTTTTAAAATTATCTGTGACTTGAAATTGCTGGTTTTTGGACTTCGTCCATCATCCAATACTATAAAAACGCGTAGAAAACAACGTTTCAGAAGTTGGATCTGTTTCCAGCCTCAGGTGAGGGATGAGAGCTACAGCCTCTGTTGGGACCGTCAGAAAGAGCTGGCCACAATCACTGGACCTGTGACTTTTAGAATAGAGGACTGTGGAGAAAGTCCAAGAACCCGGTAATCCTAAGTGTTATACACCATCGTCAGAATCCTTCAGTATCTAATATTAGACTCGTTTCGCAGACCTGTGTGAATAAGCACAAGTTTTACTGCGCGTGTCTATGTGGCTGGATGCCCATACAAATTTGACAAATTGGGTGTGACTGAACTTCACGAAATACATGCGTATTGGCGGAATTTGATTTTGTTAGTCCATTAAAAGAGAAAATGTTGTTTAGTTGTGGAAAGTTGCAGGCTACAACATTGATCGCTCCGCTAAGGAACAATCCCGAGGGGTGAATAGTTATACACATAAGAGAAAAAGTTCTCATCTTGAATACGTAAAAGTTTTAAACTTTGTGAACTACGACCTTGGACCGCCTCTGTGGTCTAGTGGCCAGAGATCCTGGCTACAGATCCAGAGGTCCCGGGTTCGATTCCCGGCTCTATCATACTTTCTGAGAAGTAGTGGGTCTGGAACGGCGTCCACTCAGCCTCATGAGGATAACTGAGGAGCTATTTCAAGGAAGTGGCGGCTCCGGTCTAGAAAACCGAGATTAACGGCAGTCGGGATCGGTTGCGCTGACCACACAACACCCTCTATCCGATAAAGTTGGTAATAACTTCGCCGACAAGCAGCGGTCGCTCGGTCGGTATAGTTCGCTTGCGAACTACAGGCCACGGAGTTTTTTTTATATTTTAATATACGAATGTCGGATAGATTGCAACAAATTGTGTATACATGCGGGGTACCATGGAGTATCTTTTAGGCCCTATGCAGTGTTTAAGGAATGACCCTGCAAAGCTACGAGTGAATTTAAAAATACCGACGAAAAGGGAAAGTTATAGATAATACTGACAAGTAGATTCTAAAGCGTTCTTACGATGGTGGATGACACACAGAATTACAGGGTTTTTGGTCTTTTTCCATCGTCCGGAATTCTAGGTAATAGAGGACGCGACGTTTCGGAAACTGGATCTGTTTCCGTCGTCAGGTGAGAAAGGAAAACCTACGCAGTTGGGCCCCTTAGAAAGAGCTAAGGTCCAGTGATTAAGATTAGCTCTTTCTAAGGGGCCCAAATGAGTAGGTATCTTCCTTTCTCCCCTGAAGACGGAAACAGGTCCAGTTTCCGAAACATCGTATCCTCTACTACCTGGAATTGCGGACGATGGAAAAAATCCAGAAACTCAGTAATTCTGTATAATATTGACAAGTTAGTTAAATTGCCTTCAAGAGAATGGTACATAGTTTTTATTTCAACAATTCATTTGCCACACTTCAAGGTAACAGAGTCACAATGTATCCAGTTTTATGCCACAAAATTAATAAGCATTAATGCTTGAATGAAGTAACCTTCTGTCCATATATTCACGTGCAACCAACAGACTGGGAATGCTGGGTCTCTGGAAACTAAGCCCTCGGTTCAGTACACCCACTTCTTCGTTGGTACATACGTGCAGTTTACATTTATTAAAACAACATATGTATGCTTGAAAACAAATAAAATTGTAGGCTTTTACTGTGAAATCATTAATCATTAACTACAATCATATGCCCCACCCCCCCATTACAAAAATCTCACACGCCACATTATCCAGAACCAATAGTAAGGCGTTCTGAACGTTGCGGAATCCCTGCATTAGAAGAAGAAATTATTTTACTTTTTTTTGTAAATATACTCTTTTTTAATTTTACAATAGGAGCCTCAATTTCTAGGTTATAGAAATCAGGCACGAAAGAACACATGAGAGCGCAGTACGTGATGCAGAGAATCCACTCGGATATTGCGCTCGCCAGATGTAATTCCCAGCCGCCATCTTCAGGTTTCCACTTTTGCCGTATCGAACCTGTCAGAACATTCGTATTGAGGTCACAATTAGCTAGGTACACTTAGAGGCTCTAGGCATGCGCTTACATACAACTGTTAACTGAAAATCATGTTCATTAAAAATTATAATGTTTTATATGTCGTCTCGGTAGCATAAGAACATAAATTCGGGGTGTGAGCACAGGATACTGAGACCGCGCCATAGCTCAAGCGGTTAGTCGCTGGCTTCCCACCGCGGCGACCCGGGTTCAATCCCGGGGTCTCGTCAAGTGGGATTTGTGGTGGACAAAGTGGCGCTGGGGCGGGTTTTCTCCGAGTACTTCGGTTTCCCCTGCCAATCTTCATTCCTTCAACTTCTCCATCATCATAATCACCCGGGACAGGTACAATAGGCCAATCAGTGGCCGCCGTGCCGAGTGAACCCAGTTGGATTCCACCCACCCCTAAGGGAATTAAAAAAAATAGGGTGCTGAGGAGTGTGTTTGTGCTTCAAGTAGAGGAACCAACAGGAGGATTAGCGAGAAACTACATAATATACACAACTCAGAAAATGTTTTTAAACCACAGCCATCAAATCTAAGATAATACAATTGGTAGTTTATATAGCATGCATGGGAAAGATACGAAATGTAGACAGAATATAAGTGGAAATGGTGAATGCAAGATATCAGTTTGAATACCAAGACGTAGATGAGGGACAATACCAAAATGAATCTTACGTAAATAGGATGTGACTTGTGGAATGTATGTAATAGGATCAAGTGTTTGGCTGTTGTGAACACGCAATAACTTTCCGGGTTCCATAACAGAATGTCTTTGCAAGCTAACCAACCCATCACTTTCTCAAGAATGACTTTCCTTCGCAGACTTAAATAATATCCATAATAGTTGTTCCATCGATAATACCACATCATTTCTGTGTACGCCTAACCTTCAGGCAGAATAGACAATTCAATTAAATTTATTATTTTATTTAAAATCGTTAAATACTCTAGATTTATTAAGAAAATGTTTTTGTCTTGTAATTATTTTGTTCTCTATCATACAATGCACTTACAAGAGCTCTGTAAATAAGTATATGTTTAGAATGACCGCCTCTGTGATCTAGTGGTCAGCGCTCCTGGCTACAGATCCAGAGGTCTGGATTCGATTCCCGGCGCTACCAGATTTTTTCGGAGA